AGTTTCTAGACCACTTCTTTGCTTCCTCCAATTTCTGTGCATATGTTGGACAAATCTCCCATCTGACAGTCTGAGTCTTGGTTCTATTTGTATTATACTTGACCATTAACTTTGTTCTAATTCCATCAACCATGGCCCTTATTGGCGTAGCCCTGACATCTAGAACCCACTTGTTGAAAACCTCACTTAAGTTGTTAACTACTAAATCTGTTTTGCAATTTGTGTCCATGGCATGTATGGCCCAAGTGTGCTTTGGGATTTTACTAAGCCAAGCCCATGCTGCCTCACACTCTCTCTTCAACTCATCCATTGCAATATTATAACCATGTTCAGTGTATGAGTAACTTGCTTCATTCATGTATTTCTTTAATTCTGGCCCTCTAAACCCAGCATTTTGAAAGTTCTGGTAAATGTGTCTGAGGCAAAACCTTTGTGGACAATTGGAAAAGACTATGTTTATGGCTTTCAGCAGGCCTTGTCTAAATTTAAGTAAAGCTTAGTGACTAACTTAGTGACTACATCTATATGAAATTAACTACTATAAAGAACTAAATGATTGTGTACAGAAAGTAGCTACAACTAAATGTAAGTAACTACTAGAAAGGGCTAAATGAAAACTAGCACAAGTGGATTTCATTACCTTCTGCCTATTTGAAATGATTGTGTACTGTCCAAACTGGCCAGATTCCCCACCTAATGCTACCTTCAGCTGGTATAGAAACCATGTCCAGGAATTTGTGTCCTCCTTGTCTACAATTCCAAAAGCAATGGGAAAAATGTTATTGTTCCCGTCTCTTCCAGTAGCAGCAAGGATCTGTTGACCAGTAGTGAGCTTTATGAAGCATCCATCCAGACCTATAACAAGTTAACAGGTCAGCAGGAACTAGTTGAAAACACACATTAGGCAAACACACATTAGACCTACACCAAGGAATTACCTATGAATGGTCTGCATCCACTGAGAAACCCTTCTTTGCATCCATTTAGGCAAAAGAATAATGCATGAAACCTAGGGTTTTTGCTTGTATGCTCCCTCAGATGTCTTGTTGTCACTATACACCTTGAACCTGGATTAGTATCTAGCACAACCTGCAAATAATCCCTAATCCTGGTGTATTGGGCCTTCTGATCTCCTAGCACAACATTCTTTGATGTCTTCTTAGCCCTGTATGCCATGTGGGTTGATATTTCCACTCCATACTTGCTCGTTGCAGTGTTAACTATAGTAGTGATTCTTGTGCATGGGTCATTTCTGATTGCTTCCTCACAAAATTTTGCAACCCACTTAGCAGTAATTTTTGTGTTCTCTGACATAGAAGGGCAAGTGTGCACCACATACTGCTTCCTTATGGTAAATGTCTTCTCATTTGCAATCTGAGAAGATGCTACATAAAAAGGGCATGTCTCATCTATGCATTGTGCTATAACCATGTCACTGCAATTTCTATGGTACTCATAGTTCCTGTTCTGTGCAATGTGCATTGTTTGAAGTGCATTCCTGAACTGGTACACATCATGAAGCAAAGATGCTTCACAAGTTGCTCAGCTCGGTGAGCTCTCTTCTCATCATACCATAACCTTTTCTTCATCTTCTTAGCTCTGTTTTTCCTGCCATTGGGCAAAACATATGTCAATGCCTCTGCACCATCATCATCTTCCACACCCAAGTCCATTGGTTTGTTGTCTTCATCAGAAGATGGTATCCAGTCCTCCTCAAACAACTCCTCTACACTTGCATGTGATCTGCTTGTTGGGACTTTTCTGTGTTTCTTCTCCTTTTTCTTCTTCTGTCCATCTTGCCCTACCTGCTCCTCTTCCTCCAGAGTACTCTCTTCCTCCTCTGCATCATCTTCTTCTTTCAGGCTCATATAGTGCATCCTCCTCCTCCTCTATCTCATACATTTCCTCAACATATGTGTCCCCTTCAAAATGAAGGAGTGGATCTTCCCTCTGTCTTTTCATCTCATCAAGCCTAGCAAGGATATCACCATATTCTTCCAAATTATCATCATCACTGTCCTCCTCATTATCCATCACTACAGATTTTCTCTTCACAGAAGTGTCCTTCTCTTTATTTTTCCTATTCTTCCTAAATATTTCAATTTCCTTCCTCCTTGTCTCCTCCATAACCTTTTCAATTTCCATTTGCTCCTCTGAATTGTATACATGATTTTATTCCACTTGTACATAACCTAAAGTAAGTTGCTCCTCCAAATTGGTGTTATGTTGTGTTTGAAACTGTATGGGCATTGGCTCCACTTCTGTTGCTTTTGAACTTGCTGCTGCTACATGCACATTTGGTGCACTGAACAACACTCCTTCTTTATCTATCTGATACAGTTTGGGCTCTCCAATTTCTTCTAGAGGGATTTCCTGCTCAATAACATTGGAGCTGGTGTTTATACTTGCAGCATTGGGAGAACTGGCCCTAACAACTGTCACATTCAATATCTTCTGATTTTGCACTGCTATGTTATCTAGAATTTCCTCAAGCTTGTCATCATCATCTATTTCTTCCATTCCTTCTATCCCTAGCCCAGGATCCCTGACATAGTACATGTAATCTTTAAATCCATAACCTTCTGTTTCTATCAGTGCTACTAGGTTGTAAAATGTTATGTCTGACACCATCATAGATCTCTCAATGTTGTCTCTGTCATGGAAATGCATCCTCAATTCTCAAACCTCATCATCCAGACTGCAAATAATATAAAATACATAGCAGTATAAGTGCTTAATTAAAACTGAATAACACTAATGAAACAACTCATATTAGTGCACAGGACAGGACAAACAAATAAAGCAGATAACAGGATAACACTAATAACACTAATAACCAAAACTGAATAACACTAATAACACTAATAAAATACATAGTTTAAATGCTTTGTCACTTATAAAGTAGATAATAGGATAACTAAATTAACCAAATGTCAACCCTAGGGCATAGGACAAACAAAGCACAGCATCAGAACTAATCTAAAAATGTCAACCCTAAGGCACAGGACAAACAAAGCACATAATCTGAGCTAATCTAAATAATGTCCTAGGGCACATGACAACAAAATCACAACATCTAACACTTGTACTGCATCTGATAGGATAGAACAATATGAACCCTAACCCTAGGAGTACCCTGGCAACGCAATTGAATGGAGAACGGGAAGGGAAGAGCAAAGAAATGTGGATCTCACTATACACCGCCGAAGGATGACGCGATGTGCTGGCTTCCCGTCGGATTGGCCCTCACCGCCGCGGCGAATGCTCTGGCCGCCCTGTATTTCGTCGAATACTGCGGTCCTTCTCCTCCTCCTCTTCCTCCGTCGGCTTGCTAGGGTTCGAGCTACCGCAAAGCTCGCATGGATCCACTGCGGGTCCTCATCCACTACGTACGATGCGTGCGGCGCTGCCGGGCGGAGCGCCGCCACCAGCATCTCCACCTTTTGTCGGACTACGCATCTCTGCAGTGCGAGGGGCGACGGGAGCGAGGGGTGAGGGAGAGGGGGAAGAAGAATGGGGGAGGGTGACGGTGGCGGGAGTGAGGAGGAGGGGGAAGAAGAATGGGGAAAAGAGACGGATGCGGGAGTGGACGACTAAAGACGAGCCCTAACGGCGTCGTCTAACGCCGTCTGCCGGCTGTCGGGACAGCCTGGAGTGCCACGTAGTCGAAAAACGGGTCCGACCTATCATAAACTCACTTAACACGGCCCGATCCACCGATCAGTGGTTTTTTACAAAACAATTACGCTAGACGTGGTGCTTTCTCCAACGATTCTGTATCCTAGTGTTTTTCGCAAACTAGTCCTCAAAGTGGTGGTTTTATGCAATTTACTCTATCATGGTGTGTATCTTAACTGTTCTGGACATGCCTTAAATGTTGTGGAAGTAGTCTGCAAAAGTAGTGTATTCATGCATAGCTAAAAAGCTGTGGAATTCTAGCTGAATTTCGGGTCAGTCCTGGGCACCCAATGGGCCAGCGAGGCCACATGACTTTGTCAGAATGGGTCGACCCGTGGCCCCTGAAATTGGCCTTGCGGCCATGGGTCCAGGTCCATGCCAACACATTCCCATCTTGACTCCAAACACTCGTATTTTGTCATTGGCCCCCAGCATAATCCGTCTAGCTCTAGCTCCGTTACTGCTTCTGCCAATGCGAAAGCTTCTATGCAGGCCACAACCTCGAGAGCCCAAGGGTCAGGGTCGCCACTGAAGATGACCGTCGAGTCCTCCCGATAACGTCCATCTCCGTCACGGCATAATAAGACACCAACATCTCCTTTCTCCTTATTCCTGGACACATTTTATCTTTGTCATGTCCGCGGCTAGGAGTAGCAGTTTAGTGGGATGGTTTAACCAGAGATTTCGAAATATTCAACCAACGACCAAAAGCCCAAGAAACATCATATGTTTTTTTTTCTGAGATGTAAGAAATATTTTATGTGGGCCTACCAAAACTCCGGCCGAATAGAGCCCACATACACACGACAAACGGAAGGATTGCAGCCCATTCACACCACCACCAACCACAGACACGCTGCCTGTTGCAACCCATCGGAGGAGATACCTCTGCTCTGCTCCGTCCGCCGTCGCCGCCATGCTCCGCCTCCGAAGCTCCGTCCTCAGCCATCTCATCCTCTCCACTGCCGCAGACCCCATTTCTCCGAACCCTAGTAGCTTCACCGTCGAGGACTACGGACTACCTCGTCGGCACCTGCGGCCTCACCCGGCCCCAAGCCCTCAAGGCCTCCAAGAAGCTCTCCCACCTCAAGTCCCTCGCCAACCCCGACGCCGTCCTCGTCTTCCTCTCTGGCCTCGGCCTATCCGGCACCGACGCCGCAGCCGTCGTCGCCAAAGACCCGCGGCTACTTTGCGCCAAAGTGGACCGAACCCTGGCCCCTAAGGCCGTCGGGCTCAGTGGCATAGGTCTCTCGCGTCTTGAGATCGCCCGCCTCGTCTCCCTCGGCCCCCAATGCTTCCGCTCCAGACACATCGTCTCCAAGATGCAGTACTACCTGCCCCTCTTCGGCTCCTTCGACAACTTCCTCCGGGCGCTCCAGCGCTCCTCCTGCCTACTCTCGTCGGACCTCGGCAAGGTGATCAAGCCCAATGTCGTGTTCCTGCGAGAGTGCTGCGGGTTAGGTGACTGCGATATTGTCAATCCGTGTGTCGCTGTGTCGAGGATGCTGGCCACCAACCCGGAGCACGTCCGTGTGATGGTGGCATGTGCTGACAGATTAGGTGTGCCGCGTGGCTCTGGGATGTTCAGGCAAGCGCTGCAGGCTGTCGCGTTTCTCAGTGAGGACAAGATCGCCGCCAAAGTGGACTACTTGAAGAACACCTTCAGGTGGTCTGCTGCTGAGGTGGTCATTGCTTTGTCTAAGGCTCCGATGCTGCTCAGGATTTCTAAGGACATGCTACAGCGCAAGTCCGAGTTCCTGCTATCTGAGGTGGGGTTGGAGCCCATGTACATTGCTCATTGACCGATAATTACTTGCCTTAGCCTGGAGGGCCGGGTTAGGCCCCGGTACTATGTTCTCAAGTTTCTCAAGGAAAATGGATTGGTAGATTGCAAGCTGAGCTTCTATACTGCAGTTAGTACGCCTGAGAAGTATTTCATGGACAAGTACATATGCCCTCACAAGAAAGCTGCACCACACCTCGCTGAGGACTATGCAACCGCTTGCAAAGGGGATATACCAACTAATTTCTTGTTTAGATGAACCAGGAACAGGCTATGAAAATTCATAACGTGTGTATGGCTGGCGCAACAAAGTTTTCACTCTGCGTAGGAAGCTGGTAACTCCTGCCTCGTTGTTCTATGCCTAACTGGAAGCGGGCTATCTTTTGTAGTGTGGTTTTTACATGCCAGTTTGCTCATTGCTGACTTTTGATGTAACTGATAATTTGATTCCTGAACCCTGATATGATGTTGTTGTCATTCCTTAGAGAAGATATCAGTGTGGTCTGCTTTCATGGCAACGTTTATCTAGCATGTTCCCTTTTGACTTCATTGTATTTTGAGTTGCATCATATTTCAGTTACTACTAAGTTTGCAGTTCAATGTTCAGTATTTGGATTATTCTTACAAATATTGTGACAGTTAGTACTAAAGTTTGCTTAGATATATATTCTAATGGATGTCTGTTCTTTTTTAACCTTTTGTTTTCTTCCTCCTTACTTGTTCCTAAATACCATAGTTGACCTTTTTTTAGTTTGGCAATTTTCAAATTTCTACATATGAATCAGTCTTATCATTTGCATCCGCCACTAATTGTCAGAATAAACGAATGGAGGTGCCATGTATAACAAGCAAATCCAATGAAGGTTGAACTAACATTTGTTCTTGTTAACATATGAAGAAGAAAATGATATGAGATTTTCCATCTACAACCTACAGCTTGCACTGAGGGCAAAAGTGTTTTCTTCTATCTGTCTACAATTGAGTGAAATCATAGATTTAATAATATATTTTGCAACAAAATTCATCATAGTTTGCTGCCTTGAGCCGACACTGAGACCTTCAACCTGTTGTCCATCCTAACAAAAAAGTTGCAAATTGTTTTGTTTAGCAAGGATTCAGATTTAAGAGTTGCTTGACTAGTACTTGTCTTGCAACCAAACTAGTGTCATAGCATGTCCACGAGTCGGTGACCTGGGTACTTGTAATCCTTGGTGTTTAATGATTTATATATCTATTCTGATTGTGTTTAATGAGCAGCAGGGATAACTAACAGGGATATTGTTACCATGGCATTATATACAAACATTTTTCCTGTTGAAACATGATCGCAATCATATCAATCTGAAAAAGAAGAGAAAAATGAAAAATAGTATATATTCAGTAAAAGCAAAATATTAATTCATGAATTAGTAAAGGTTATACCTCGGTAATGAAGTGTACATCAGTGCGGTGACTCCAACTCGCTTGTCAGCCACTGAATGTAGTGCGCCTCTGTTCTGTTGCTTCTGCAGAGCGTCAGCAGATCTGGGCTGCTGTCGCTATTTTTTGTTCTGCTCAGTGACTTGAACTGAGCTGAGTTAACTTGCTTTTCCTGAATTTCATGACCAAAACAGAGAAGATCTTAAGGGATTTAAAAGGTGGGGGGTGAAACACTAGGAGGGACGTATACATGCTTGTGTTGATCAGTGCTTTATATTTATGTGGGGACAAATGCATTGGATATTTTGTTCAAATAGGAGGGATATATCTAAGCATATTGCCACTAGGAAAAAGTCACTCTGCTCTTCAGATTCATAACTTCCGTAAACAGGTTTTACTTGATCAAAATTGGAGGTTAAGATAGCTTGATTTTTTTCACTGGGATTAGACTTATGTGTTTACTCAGAAATTCCAGCTAACTACCTCTGAAATAAAAGAAAAACAGACCTAATTATTCTGATGTAAATTTTCTGCTGGACATGTGCACAGAACTTATTCACCATACTATTTCTGAGGAGTATCTCCATACTATTTAACCGTCACAACGACAAATGCCAATCTTTCAAGACTCCTCACACTACAACAACAACAACAAAGCCTTTAGTCCCAAACAAGTTGGGGTAGGCTAGAGGTGAAACCCATAAGATCTCACAACCAACTCATGGCTCTGGCACATGGATAGCAAGCTTCCACGCACCCATGTCCATAGCTAGCTCTTTGTCGATACTCCAATCCTTCAGGTCTCTCTTAACGGACTCCTCCCATGTCAAATTCGGTCGACCCCGCCCTCTCTTGACATTCTCTGCACGCTTTAGCCGTCCGCTATGCACTGGAGCTTCTGGAGGCCTGCGCTGAATATGCCCAAACCATCTCAAACGATGTTGGACAAGCTTCTCCTCAATTGGTGCTACCCCAACTCTATCTCGTATATCATCATTCCGGACTCGATCCTTCCTCGTGTGGCCACACATCCATCTCAACATACGCATCTCCGCCACACCTAACTGTTGAACATGTTGCCTTTTAGTCGGCCAACACTCCGCGCCATACAACATTGCGGGTCGAACCACCGTCCTGTAGAACTTGCCTTTTAGCTTTTGTGGCACTCTCTTGTCACAGAGAATGCCAGAAGCTTGGCGCCACTTCATCCATCCGGCTTTGATTCGATGGTTCACATCTTCATCAATACCCTCATCCTCCTGCAACATTGACCCCAAATACCGAAAGGTGTCCTTCCGAGGTACCACCTGGCCATCAAGGCTAACCTCCTCCTCCTCACACCTAGTAGTACTGAAACCGCACATCATGTACTCGGTTTTAGTTCTACTAAGCACTCACAGGAAGAAAAATTGGTATTAGCAAATCAGGAATATTATGCATGGAAGGCCACTGCATGCAGATAGAGAGCATTCCTTACTCTATTTACACATATATTATATTCCTTCTGCATGGTTGGCATATATGGTTTGTGGGGTCAGTTCTGTCTGGTCGAGCATGTTGCTGTGTCAGGGGAAGACTGCATTCTGAGATCAATCGACATGTTAATCTGGAACAAAAGAAAATGGCACAAAGCTTGTCACCATGGATATGCTCGACAGCTAGGTAGTTATATAAAATATTCTTATCTATATTTACTAAAGTTTATGTATTTATGTATGTCAAATTTATCCATTAATTTACATCCTTGGTCCTTGTGGTGCTGCCACTGAAGTAGACCATATGCATTTTACTGAAGTGGGAGTAATGCCAGTTCTCCACTCAGCATAATGTCCCTCTGATATATATGAATCTACTTTCCATTGATGCAACTGATGTACCACACAAGGACAAATACTTTAGTTGTGTACTAGAGGAAAAACATGGTTCTTCCATCCTGTGACTGAGTGGTTGTATTCAGAGAACTGCAAACATTTTCTTATGATTGCCTTTAATATTAATAGTATACTTCAATTCCACGCGCCTAAAAATAATTAAGTTGACCAAACTGGTTCTTTTGTAAGTTTGTAACCCAGGTAACTAATTCTGGAACAGAGGAAGTTAGGACTTCAGTATGAGATAGTTACCACATTTAATGGAAGATGAAACAAAAAGCAAATAATAGCTCAGTTTTTTTTGTTCTACTAATATGCAGTGATATTATGTAAGGTCTCGCTAGATCAATACTCTTTGCTGTCTAATCAAGATTCAACTGGTGGAGCTGTCGAATCCATGCCTCTGCACACACCTGCTGGACAATTTTCCAGGTATAAACACAGTCTCAGTGTGCCATCATGTTTCTTATGCCCTGCACCTCCAAGTAGTATTTTCATTACCGACTTCATGTTATCAAATAGTGCCAACAATAGCCAGGGATCAACTTGTCTGTAAGGCCCTGTTCCACACTCTAGACTCACAAGAACACTTTACTGGTATTCTTATATTTATGGCCTCTATCACACAGAGATCTGCCTTATACACTGTATTGTCTATTATTCTGGATGCTACTGTCTTCTTTTTCTTGTTGTGAGGTGACCCCATTGCTATTGGTGATTGTATCTCAATGACTCCATCTAGTGACTGGTGCACAAGTTGATGACAAACGCATCGGGTTCTGGGGGACAAGGAGCCACCTTCTGTCACCCTGGGATTGGGAGAGCGCGGTGAGGAGGTTGGGTTCGCAGTGTGAGAAGAAGCCAAGCATGATGGCTATGGGTAGTAGTTCATGATTCATCTGGGTCACCCCCTCGGTGGTGAGCCAGAGCAGTGTCTGATAAAACAAAGTGTGTGCCTGTACCGGTGAAAAGCCAAACTCCTTGCCAGCCTGGATGACATGGCTGAATGGTCTCATCTAATTATATTTTTCTAAATCATGGTTGAACGAATTATGTGTCGTCAGTTCCATTTTTTCCCATGTTGAAATTTTAAGAGTAATTTGGGAAGTATCAATGTCCAATGATGGGCCATCTTCAGATACTGGTCATTGCTTGTTTCGTTGGTGAACTTCTGCACTTGCTTCTCTTTTTCTCGTCACTTCGTGCCATTAGTCAATTTCATGCCTTGCAGTTAGCTTTTCATAGCTGCAGAATTACAGAAAGTTCCATCCAATAGTTTGCAAACTACTGGAAACAATATCATGTGGTAAATTTATATTGTCATGGTTACATTTTCCTCTGTTTTTATGTTGTTGTGTTTCTACTTGCCATCTTGTTTACGGATTCTTTGTAAGTGCTCCTTTGTATTGATGGTCTTATGCTTTGTATTTATCAGATTAGCACACACAAAAAACACAAATGAACTTAGAAACCAAACACAATTGGTTTGAATGATATTTTTGTTATATTTTGAGGAACTGCCATAATATAAATTTTACAGATTAAGAACAATGAAGTTGTATTCAGAAAAAAAATTCTGTTGTACTCTAATCACACATTTATTTTGAACTTCCAATCTCTACCTAGCATTTCCGAACCTTGGGTACAAACCATTAATAACCTTCTATCTATGAATATTATTTGAGGAGCAAAATCAGCATGAAAGAAAACATAAATGATTATAGAAACC